GGAAATACAACAGACAGGTACCACTTCAAAGCTCGAATATCCGGCCTCTGATCTGATTGCTGCAGACCCGTCAGTCCTTATGCTCAGAAAATGTCCAAATTGCTTCATAGGCCCACATCAACCCTGTTTTGGGAGCCTTTATGTAATTGTTTGGTTTAAAGCATGATGCATAGTATATGTCGGGTCCGTCGCCGCCACATCTCTCTGCATAACTGCCAAAGCTGTTCGAAAATGTTTTAGAGAAGGGGTATTGCCCGACCATGGAACAGTATGTAACATTGAGGATAGCATGTTCCTAGATCAGCCAAGAACATTAGTGACGGTGTTGAAAGAGGAAGAGTCCAAACTTTGAGAGTCATGGCGCTGTCTCAATGAAATCTCATTTAGTTAGAGGTGAACTGAAATATACATGCTCTCTTGATCCTCAAGGGTTTGAAATTAAATTTCCTGAATAATGTCGCCATAAGTCAATGACCCGATTAGCCCCTGTCGGACTTGGCACGTCTCGTTCCGAACCACAAAGATCGCGTTCATCGATGGCCTCTGAAATAGCCAACGTACTCATCGCGACACTCAGCCCAGATCCCAATACTCGAATTGCCGCAGAATTGCGTATCAACGAGTTGTTCAGGACACCAGGTTTGTAGACGTTCCTAACACCAAAAGCGTCATTTTCCTTTTGATACTCTGGAATTCGAGTTTCTGCACTATCCCAGATGCTTGATGTTCGCTCTATTCTGCATTTCGTACGATGAATACACCCAGCCACAAACATTGATCTAATCAACATCCCTTTATCTCTCTCATTCAGATGTTGGCCTAGCACTTGCACAAATACTTGTCGCACAGGACGCGGATCCCTCTCTCAGACAGATAAGTACCTACTCCTTGACGAATTGGTGGCGCGTCCTACCAAATATGATGTACGGCCAATGACGCTTATCAACTCTTGTATCCTCACTCTGCAGGAATTGTTCTCAGAAAATATGTACAAGAACATTGGTCAGACTCGTTTCCGAAATTCGTCGGACCTTTGCCACCCCCTGAAGTGCGCCGCTTGAAAGTTGATTGACACCAATCCAAGGCTAATGACATTGTTAGGTGAAACAACAAGCACGTTCACTTGTGTTCTCGGGATTGAGCGATAATCAGAGGAAGATTAGGACGTCGAGTGTCAGTTGGATGGTCCTTAAGCTACGACCATACTAATATACACCTTTAGGCCTTTGTCTTGTCATTTATTGCAAAAGCGGACTATCCTGAAGAATACCCTACCCTCCTGAGTGACCTTCTCGCACTTCTTTCCTCTGGTAGCACATCAGCAATCCATGGTGCTATGCAAGTTCTCTCTGATTTCATTCGGAACGAACTTTCGGAAGATCAACTTCTTCCTATCTTGCGCCAACTTCTTCCATTACTTCTTACTGTCTTGTCGCCACAGTCCGCTTCGGAGCAACACCACTCTGCATTGACGAGAGCACGAGCTGTCGGCATCTTCAGGCAATGTGTGACTGCACTTGACATGGTCAGGAAAGAGTATCCGGAGGCGACTTCAGAGGCTACCTCATCTATTCTGCCCCAGTGGTTAGCGGCGATGCACGCTCTTCTCTCCACTCCACCATCTGCCGATGTGGCAGATCCAAACAACTGGGACCCCATCGCTATTAGGATCCAAATTTTCCGAACACTAGATGTCATCTTCACAAATTTCAATACCAGTATGACTCCAGAAATGACCGAAGGTTTCTGTAACATTGCAGTGCAAAACCTGACGGACTTGATGCCTGCCTTCAGAACATATTATATCCTTGGATCTCAAAATGCCGACAAAGGTGGTGTTGATCCACCAACACCTGTATCAGCAGATGACCCGGACATCAACCTGAGTTTGATGCACCTTGCTTGTCCCGCCATGGACTTCTTAGGGGAAGTCGTCAGAAGATCTACACGTGGCTCCAAGGTTGCATCCGGATGGGTTAAAGCCAATCTTGGCACAGTTATGGGTTTAGCCTTGTACTGGACGCAGATACCAGTCGAAGACGTACGTCGTATCTATCTCCAACTGCTTTCTGCACTAATAACTGTCTTTTCCCAGGAAGACCTGTGGGAAGAAGATGCTAACGCCTTTGTACGGGACGAAAGCGAAGGAGTAGAAGCATATACAGCTCGCGTTGCCAGTCTAGACGTCGTCGGAGTATGTCTACACCCTATTATAGGACATACAGGCTAACTGAGGTCAAAAGGATTTCCTGGAACATTATCCTGAGGCTACGGCAGAGTGGCTTTGGAATGCGACCCAGAGTGCTGTTAAAAATGCAGAGCAAGCGAAACAAAATGGCGAACCAGATTGGTATGTCGAACACTCTAGACGATGCCCGGCATTTACTTCAGAGATTAATTGATTGAATAGGTGGAGACTATTGGAAGCGTGCCTCTGTGCCCTTAACGATGAAGAGCTCGTGGACATGATGGATCGTGCCAGGGAAAGCGGAAAACGAGCCCCATTTGACGGAGAGACGTTGTTAACGTCAATACTCCCCCCACTTCTGACTGAACCAGGTACTTACTCTACCTTTCCTATTAAGGCCGGTCTGATTTATTGTAAATTCCAGGCACTCCTTTCCTTCAAGGCCGAGCTTTCGTTACAGCAAGTAGTTATGCGCGATTGCTCCCAGCCGCATTGATAGGACAATACCTCACAGCGGCGATTGAGGCTCTTGAATCCTCCTCCTCTGGAGTACCCTTGAAAGTCGCAGCTTTGAAAGCAGTTCGAAAGTAGGTTGATGGGCGCTTAGGCTTGAAGAACGATCTTCTCAACTCCAATTTCAGCTTCTGCTCTGTTCCTGATGACACAACAATAGCTCCGTTGGCTCCTCGTATCGTCGGCATTCTTGCTCCATTCATGTCGACTGTTACGGAGGATTCGCTGGCTCTTGTCCTGGAGGCTCTAAGCACAGTAACGCAGGTCGATGATGGCAAATGGCTCACTTCCGACCTCGCCTCTACGATTGTAAATATGCTTTTGACGACGTACCAGAGAAATGTTAATGGTAGGAAGGTCTCAGCATTTAGCAATAAAATTTCTAACTTCTTTGTCCAGATCCTATCTCTTTATCGATAACTACCGATGTATTCACTTTCCTCGCTGCTGCAGAGGCTCCATCTGTATATCAAGCAACCGTCATGGCCACCGTACCCGTCTTAGCTCCGACTATTGCCAATAATGATGGATGGGTATGCTGTTCTGCTATGCAAATCTTGACGGCCGTTTTCGAAGGGGCATCATCCGGTCAATTGGGAGATGGAGTGGTCGGGGTTCTAGCACCAAGCCTATTCACAGCTCTAGGAAAAGTGGCCGATCCCGAGGCGATATCCGTGAGTAAGCTAACTATAGGAAACAATGTCTCACAAGTAGCTTTAGGAAGGATGTCGGCTTCTCACATGCCTCATACGAAAAGACCCTACACAATTCTTTGGATGGTCGGACCCAGCAGATGGGACGAGTAGCTTGCAGAGGGTCGGACAATATCTGGAACGGCTCCTCAGTCCCGAAGTAGAGGAATCTGCAGGATTGGCAACTGGTGACCTCCTAGTCACTCTCTTCAGAAAGGCTGGAGACACCCTTGGAGCCATGATGCAGCCACTATTGCTGGAGGTGATCAAACGACTAAGTGGGGCTAAGACTGCCACAGGATCTCAGGTAAGTTTCCCTTGGGCTATCTGGCAAATACATGCTCAGTGCCTCCCATAGTCTCTCATTATTCCCTATGCATACTTGATTCATAGAGACCCAGACAATGTTCTGGGTCTTTTGGAGGGTATCACTCTGGACAATGGTCAGAATGGATTACAAGTCCTGTTGAGCGCGTGGTGCGAATATGCGGATTCTTTCATTGGAAATTGGGCTACTCGCATAAGGCATGAATCCAATAAAATTTCAGTAAATTGACTAACTCTCAAGTAGTCAGGTGTCGTTGACGCAGCTTTTCCTCTCCCAACGACCTAGTCTGGACGCCATCACCGTCAGAGGCGACTTGATCATCACGCCCGCTACTTCAAATGGTAAGAAAGATGTTTTTATTTGAGCTCCATCCTCACACGGCCTATTCCCTTTTCAGTCATTGTCACTCGCTCGAGAGCGAAGCAGAGTCAGTATGGATGCAAAATATTTGCCATTATCTAACGTCCTGCCTTTTCAGCCCCTCATCAGTACTCTCAGATACCCTTCAAGCTCAAGGCACTGAAAATTATACTCAACTACTTGCAAGCGAACGGCGAGTCGGCGACGTTGGGAGCCAAGCATACGGACTTTGATACTGCTAGCTCGATCGGAGTGCGTATTAAACTAGCGCTCTATTGCATACTCTGACAGAACCCAAGGATGATGAAGAGTGGGAAGATGAAGATCGTGTAACTGAAGCGATAATGCTCTCACGTCAGTGTCCCCATCTCTCAACCCACACCTAGCTCACAAGTACAACAGAGGCACTTCAATTCGAGACAGACGATACACCTGGCACTGGACTAGATGATGAAGAACTGATGGACGATCCCGTCATGCAGATTGACCTTACGGTAAATCGGAATGACATTTGACCTATACAGGATACTGATTCCCTGCCAGGAGCACACATTGACGTTCCTCAAGGAATGTACGGCCAGGAACATTAGCAATTTCAACTCTTTGGTGGATCAACTCAACGCAGAAGAGATGATCGTGGTCCGACAGGCTATGACGTCGTCGTAATGAAAACCAAGGATCAAGACTCAAAAATGTTGTCACTTAAAATGTGTCAGGATGTAGAGCAAAAGTTATATGTGCTTATGTTTCAAAATATATAGAATCGTTAAAGTAATGAGTGGTGTGTGTATGGATAGGAGGCTCTGAAATCAGATTGCGATCTCTAAGAGGAATCCAACTTCATTTTTTCTTTCCCATGCTTACTACGCCTTCCTTTTGTAAAAGGGGCAGCGCAATGGTTGATATGGTCCCAGACTCGACGGCCCCTTTCCCTTTTGCCTTTTCTATGCCCTCAGAGAGCACTCTTAAAGCAGTTTTGACATCTGTCGGTGTCTCTGTGCTCAACGTTCCGTCCTTCTTTGCTTGTGCCAAAGCCACTCGGATAGCCTCTGCGGTTTCTTCTTCAGTCAACTGCCTCGGAAGTAGTGACTCCAGAAACGCTGCTTCTCGTTCTTCGTTCTCCGCAGAGTCTATGAGATTCGATGAGCGATATTCTGTGGCAGCGGTCCTCTGTAAGAGCCATAATTTAGCCCATAGGTTCTCGGGATATGCTAACTGAATGAGCGGATTCTTACACGCTTGGTGATCATTTTCCTGACGCTCTTCAGAGCAGCCTCCTCTAGTTTCTCGGGGGTTACTCCTTTATTTGTAGATCGGATCTTTTGCTCTGTTTGTAGCTCCCCTATGACTGTCTTGAAGATCTACATCAGCACTGTCTTTCGAGAATACCATTGACGAGAAACTTACGCGTAATAAATTTGTACGAAATGCATCTCGCGTCTTTCGCGCGTCAATGAGTTGTTTCGACAGGAACTTTTCCAAAGGCACGTCTCCAGTGAACACTATGCTCGACGTCGAGCCTGTCGTTGTGCTCGTAAAACGGGCATCGCCTTGAGCACAGATGTCAGCCTTTTATTGCAGTATGATACCTTGAGCCTACAGTCTGAGAGGTATTTCAAAGGTTTTGGCGCACCCCCTATTCTGGTCCCCTTTGATAGTGCACGAAACACAGCTGGGCGCGTCGTTGAAACGAGTCTCGTCGACAACAATCGAGCGTACATTTTATTTTCCGAGGTCTGTGTCGTTGGCGACGAGTTGGGGTCGAAAGCGGTACAGCAGAGTCAGCGACGGAAAAGGAGAGGGGTGCCGAACTTGGATAAAAGCGCTGACACTGGCCTTCAGGCTTTGGATTCCGCCACATCCTGCTTACTGCTTAGATCCCCTCTCGCATATAATTTACGAATAAATCAACAATGATCAAGGTACTATACTCCCCTTCTCTCTCCTCCTTGGGTCACTAGACCCCATGGACGAGCCTTCTAGTCCCCTCCTCGTGTGACTTGGCTAACGAGCGCGTCCAGATCTGGAACATGAAGAAAAACGAGGGCTCTGGTCCCAAGAAACCCAAGACGAGCGCTGCTCAAATCCGTGTCCAGAAAGGTCAGCACTCCACCGTGTCCTGCTTATCTAACGGACACTGGCACATTGTTACCGCGGTATACTGACCCCTCGTTGCAGACATCACCGAGCTAGATTTGCCACGAACGATGTCTATGGAGTTCCCAGATCCCAATGATCTCCTTAATTTTACCTTGACTATCTCGCCAGATGAGGGTATGTCTCAACCAGCCCTCCTCCGCCCCGCGAACATGCCATTCGCCCTTGCTGTAATCAATCGCTGATCATATCTGATGATCTCACAGGAATGTACAAGAACGCGTCTTTCAAATTCTCTTTTGCTATCAATAGCAGCTACCCACACGAGCCGCCCAAGGTCAAATGTATTCCCAAGGTGAGTCTAGCACGCCACCAGTGCATCAATCACAGCCCGGGTGACATCACACTAACCCTTTTTAACAGATTTACCATCCAAATGTGGATCTCGAAGGCAATGTTTGCCTCAACATCCTCAGAGAGGACTGGAAGCCTGTGCTCAATCTCAACTCGGTCATGGTTGGGCTGCAATACCTCTTCCTTGAACCAAATGCAGATGATCCGTTGAACAAAGGTTAGTCCAGGATACCGCCTACACAACACAGCAAAAAGTGCTGACAAGTAATTTTTTTCCCCCGCGAAAACAGAGGCGGCCCAGGATCTCCGTAGCAATCGGCAGAATTTCATCCGCAATGTCCAACGGTCCATGGCCGGAGGATTCGTCAACGGTGTCACCTTTGACCGTGTCTTGCCCGAGTGAACGTGTCACAGTTATGGAGGAAGAGCCACCGCGTGGCCTTAGCAAGACGACCTATTCCCCCATCATCACATTCATCCCATATTCTCCGCTTTATACTCATTTGCTCACCTCTCATAGAGTTTGCTCCACCCTGGATCTATTGAGTTTGAGCTCAATCATGGACTCGATCCCACTAAAACTATTCCAACCTTGCATCTTGTTTCTCGTATCCCCCTGTCATCACCTTTTTATTCGATGACCAATCGCTCCTCGCGTATTTGTACTCACAGCTTTCGCACCTCGTACTATATACTTGTTTTTATCCACAACTCGCTTGTTTCCTTAAGACACACTAAGAATGATCCAATTATCGTCTATATACAAAACTGAACCTCATAGAATGAGCTCATCCGATCGTTTCGTGGCGACCCAAAATTCTGTCTGATAGACCCATCGCATCATAGCATGCGTGTCAGCGGTATACTCGCTAGGGAGGCGACAGCGGGATGCTTCGTCGATATCGAACCCTATCAGATCGGCGAGTCGCAAGACCTCTTCGAGGTTGAGCTCGATAGTCGAATTGTAGTAAAGTAATGGTCCAAGATTTATCCATTTGCCACCTGGACGAAGTAGATAGTAGAGTTGAGATAACTGACAAGAGGTCATTGAATGAATAGCTGGGAGGAGAAAAGTGCTCACATAGGAGATGATGTTGCTTGCAGTGTCTATGAAAAATAGTGTGACGATCGTGTCGTATCCACACCGGTCTCCAAGCAGCATAGAAGCCTGGTCAACGCCATGGGTGAGAGGTGGAGACAGTCCAAGGAAATCTTCTTCAAGTAAGGTCCAATTTGGTATGCGACGAGGTAATACATCTGGCAGCGATATGCCACGAAACGTATTTTCGTTTGATCGTTGGTGCGACCACCAATGACTGTAGGGATGTAGAGTATGCTGATTGGTTCTCTCTGTATTTTTCTCTGAGAGGAGAAAGCGTAGGCAGAGATTCATGTAGTAGGATAGTTCACATGACGTCGTGTCGAAACCTGAAAAGGTATAAGTACGAAGGGAGAGCGTATGAGCAAGCGTTGCTTACCAAGATTTGCTATCTCCCAAGCTAGTCGGCCAAGTCCGGAACCAGGAACCAAAACTTTATGGTTCCTCCTCTCTTCGATCGGGATCTTGGCCAGTTGCGAGAGGATAGGCTCGTAAATGGCCTCTCGCTCCTTTTTCCCCTCCTCACTCCAATCTCGTACCATGTGCTTCAGAGATTCTCTCACTTTCATAGTGTTGACTGTAGTTGCAGGGCCAATATGTGAGCCACTTGGAGTCGAAGACTTGACAAGGTGAGGAAATTCTTCCATGGCGAGTGAACTAATCCTGTCCGTGATAAGATGATTAGCTGTATGTGCACTTTCCATCCTTTCAATTTTTTGTTGGTATCCCAGTTCCCTTGCTATCCGTCGATGACCTCCCCGAAGAGTATTGAATTTGGAGCGGATGTTTTGGATTTCCGACTTCGTCGCACTAGCATATCCGTGAAAGGACCTAAAAGCTGCTTCAACTGAGAATATAGAAGCATTGGTAGGTTTCGCATAGTTGTGTCGGGCAAAACCCTGGAGTAAACCGGACTTTAGGGTAGAAAGAAGGGTTGACCAATGGAATTTGGGAATAAGGAGAACCCCCAGTAGACAAATGATTGTTATGGAGATCGTATACAAACTATAACACTCCATCTGGCGCGAAGAGAAGACGTTGGTGACTTGGTGTTCGTTTGGTAAATCGTATTGCAGCCTGTTCCTCGCGTCGGACGATCATCACCATTGAGAAGCGGTCTTTTGAGAGTCTTGACAGTATGCTGTAGAAGATTACCAGGCCTCTGACATGATTGTGGGCGTCGAAAATACGTCGGATGTGATGCCTTGCTGCCACCAGCAACGGCCCATCCCCTTCGGTTTTCATACTTTGATACGACCGCAACCCAATATCACACGTCCGCGGGTCAAATAACTGTCTTGACCGGTTCGCAGTCTACTTATTCATATTATATTTTGGCGTTCGGTATGGTGCACCCGTAACTGTGTCTTGGCGAAAGAAAGATGAGCTGACCCTCAGACATCCTCATACCAGTCCTGCAAAGCTCTTTTAATCCCAATTATTCCCAATAATTCAGCTCTGTCGAGTCTACTGAAGCAGTGGAGATAGCTTGTGCTATTCCATCCCGGCATGGATGCGCCAGTTCTCGTTGTGGTCCCTCCCACACCGCGAGCTACATTCAATACCCGGCGCAAAGAGCCGTCTCCCCTCTCAAACCCAAGCAAACCCAGCGACGAAAAAACCCGGAAGTCGTCAAGCAGTCTCACCTCATACGACTCTCAAGCTGGTTCAAATAACCCACAAGGCAGGACCTCTAGCGAGAAAACAGCCGTTAACATATACGATTTATATAGTGGCTCAATGGATAGAGATAGTTATGCTAGTAGCAGCAATGGCCCGACCACGAATGGAGGCGCCAGTACAGAAAGCGACACGATGCGGGGATCCACGAGAAGATCGGAGTCCAGAACGCCTCCTGCAACACGAGTTGTATATTCTGAGAACCGGCACTCGATAGCCAGTTCTGCACGAGAGTCGCTACGAGACAGCGTATACGCAACGCCGTTACAGACGCCGATGGACATGGCCACAGTACCTTCCCAGGACGCGCCTGTTTCGTCGAGCAACGCGCACGTCAATGGGAGGTCAAGTGAAGCGTCCGAAAATGGATATTTGCTTGCTTCACCTGGTCAGGTTGTTGAACATACCGGTCGCAACTCTCCCACCATAGTGATCGACCCTCCTCCTCGACAAAGTTCCAAACTGTCGCTAGATTCCGCTAACCATTCCTTGTTCGACCGTAGTAAAGACCACCCGTCAGCTTCTTCTTCACCACGTGCGTCCATGTCTTCGGCTGCTAGGCCGAGTCTTTCCCCCACCCGACTGTCCACCGACCCTGCTACCTCTGCCACCTCGTCCTCTGCTCCGAGTGTACCTCAGCATCCGCTACCTTCACCTTTGCTGCCAAATGCCCCTTCTCCTGGTGTGGATGAAGACCCGGATAGCTATTACGTCCGAGCGACCTATGCGGCGCTAGACGTTACCGGTGTCCGTGGCGACGGGTATGAGGATGGTGAAGAGCTTACAAGAGCACGACTGGGTAATGCGAGGGGAACCTTACCTTCTCCGATTCCTACTACAGCCAAGAGAATGGAGATGGGAGGCAAGGAATTGAGCGAGAAGGAAAAGGAGCTATTAGGGCAGCTCGACCGGTAAGATTGGACCTTTACACGAGGAACTTGAATTAATCTCGTGATTTCACTAGATATGGATTTTACGCTCCACCATC